TGAATTTTTTATAAATCGGTTGTTAAATGAAAAATACTGAAATTCTGCTGAGACGTCTATTTTATGTGTAAAATCATGGTGTAAAAATATGGGAATTTGTGGAGTCCATTTTGATTCAGTTTTGATTTAAATTCGATAAACTGCTGAATTTCGTATGAATTTTTAAAAATAGCAGCAGTTAATGTTAAGGGCTGATATTTTTACATGTTGATTCTATCATGGTTTATGTCGAGGTGTTAAATTTTCAAGTCCTGATTCCTTCATTAGGTTTAATTATAAATTCATGACTCGGTTTTGCTGATATCTTGTGTGAATTTTATAAAATAGTGTACTTGGGATTTGAAGCTGAAAATTTGTGGTTTTTCTTAAATCTGGAAGGTGAACTTTTGATTAAACTTTCAGGGTTAAATTCGAATCATAACTAGACCAACTTATTTTGTGGTTTAAATCTAGTATTTTAGATATATGGCTTTTGGAATTAAAATCGGTAATCGACTTGTTTTTCGTGTTGTTATGAGTTTGACTTAGTCAATCTGTGCCTTGGATTATGTGAACTCTCATGTGTAATTGGTTGAGTCTAGGGATCAAGTCTAAGTGTTCCAACGTCCACAGGACTTCACGAACAACTTAGTTGAATCAAGTTCGACTAAGTATGATTGTGATTTTCCGTTTAAGTCAAAATAGATGTTGATTATGGCATCTGGACTTAATGTAGGTGTTTGACGAGCCGAGCTCGCAGCCTATTCGTGCTTCTGTGATTATCTCCTTTTCGCAACCAGGTGGGTTTTATTTAAAATTGCTATGTCATAAGTGTTTATATATATTGAGATTGGTGTGATTATTGTATATTTATGTGAACCTGGTAGCCTATCGATGTGAGCTAATAGGGCCGTCGGTACGGTAGTCCCCGTCGATGTGAGCTTTATGCCCTTCAACGGTGCCTGATGATAGGCAGTCTCCTTAAGTCTTGTACGGAGGCCATATCATATGTAAGACCGGGACAGTGGCCGAAAGCTCTCGATATGTATGTCGTTGTAAGACCTGTATGGAGGCAATCGACAGATACTCCTACTGAGTGGGCGCCGATGTAAGGCCTGTACGGAGGCGTTCGATACGAAGACACTCAGTAGCTTTATAGAGATGTGCACATGAGTAGATATTATTGATGGGAGATGGAATATATTATTGATTTGTGACCATGCTGTGATATTATCAGTTCTATATTATGATTGTTGATTATGGCATAGTGGTGAGCACTACGGGTTCCAATTGTGCTCATCTCCACCTGCTCTTCATGGATGCAGGTTAGTATTGCGGGCACGGCGGAGGGATGCGAGTGGTGGTCATATTCTTGATATTGCTTCCGCCTATCTGAATTGTTTATTGTTATTTATGTTGTTTGAATAATGAGTACTGGATTATTGATAGAGAATGTATTCCCTAGCTATCATGATTATTGGATTGCAGAAAGTATTGAGGTTTATTGATTGAGTATTGATGTTCGTTTTGAGATAAGTAGCGCCCACTAAGTTTTTATTAAATTGAGATTTGCGAAAAATTTATAGTGATTTTTATTAAATAAATATGGTAAATCTTTAAAATAAAGTGGGGCGTTAGAGAGTGTGTCGCGGAGTCCATCCTCTGAGAGCTTCGAGATCGGTCTTTCGTAATAACTTCAACTTGAATTTCTGCTCCTTTTGCCGCAGGCTCGGGCCTTGCTCTTGATTGAGAACTCAGACTCTGCTCCCACTAACTGTCCCTCTTGTCTGTCAGTCTTCGAGTTCGGGTCGTCTATCTTTGGAAAATGAAGCTCAGTTGGGCGTTACATACGACGGGACCGGCCTGGTAGCCCTGCTTTCCAGGATTACATGGTTGCAGATCGTTTGACTGCGTGGTTTTATGTCCTTGACGCATGCTTACCAACTTGGATGGCAACAAGTTTATAACGGCATTTTGGCCCGTAGTTTATAACGATATTTCGGCCAGACCGAGCAACTCTCGTGCACTATTTTATAGTTTATGAAGGTATTCCCGCCGGCCTGACCGAGTAACTCTCGTACACGGTTTTTTAGTTTATGAAGGCATTTTGGCCTGACCGAGTAACTCCCGTATAAGGTTTTTTAGTTTATGAAGCTATTCCGGCCTGAACGAGTAACTCTCGTATGCGATCTGGCCTGACTAGGTCGCATGGTGAAAAATAGTTTTGCGGGTCTTCAGCTTTTTTCACCCGAGATTTTTGAGTTGGCCCCATTATTATGCTTCGGGGGCAGACCTATGTGTAGTTTAGGGGGACCATTGTCTAATTTTTGGTGTGTATATATATATATATGAGAAGTATATCATTTTTTGCATAAACTTACATAATTATATTGAAATAGTAATTGTATTACTCTTTTTACTATTAATTCAATTACAATTATACTCTTTTTACACTTTTGTATAAAATAATTTCTAATTTAAATAAATTGAATGTATAGTAAATATGTGAAAAAATAAAAATTGATAATCTTTTAAAAAGAAAACCATATAAAATATGTTTGCTATGTTTGGTAAAACTAGTTGAATGCATATGACACAGTCGATCATACAATTTTCCTGCAATAGTGGTAGTGCAGAAAGGGTAAAAACACGTGATTGTGGTACCTAGTATATATTTACATGTATATATTTATACGTAGTAATGTAAAACAATGCACTAAAGCTACAGAACAAAAACAGTGAGAGAATGCTTGAAAGACTTGTTCCTATCTCTGCAGCTTTACTGAACACGAATGCGGTATCCATGTCGTTATTAAGCGGCATAATTGACCTCACTTGTGGCCCATCGTACCCATCGATAGCCAATTTCGTTAATATATCCATGCGTTGGATTTTATAACTTTTGTAGCTAGACTAAAACTATTCCACTATAAATTTTTTTCACCGCTTTCTAGTAGAGGTCAACAATGACTGTAAATTTAATTTGGAAATATCACAAAGCAACTTACTTATTAAATGAGTTCACCCGTTATAAGATTTTATATTTCCAATATTATTTTTTTTTTCCAAACGATAGATATTATTATATCACGAGAAAAAGGTCTGTACACAATAGAATCAGAGCAGCTACGCAACAGAATGGCAGACTCACTAACAATAGTGATCTAAGAAATGAAAAACTCAAAACTACACAAGATTAAGGAAACCGGCAAAGACAGAGGCTTAAGGACCCGGCCCTATCACTTGTGTAGCCGTACTACATGAGAATAGTACAAAGCAAAAGATAGAGCTGCCACTGAACAGGTGAACCTAGGAACTCTATCACTACAAAGACAGATAGCCAAAAGAACAACAGAGGTGCAAACTAAACTAACTAAAACAACAACTAACAAGAATTGAACTCGAGCCAAGAGAAAGTCGCAGACTGGACAATGGAGTATTCAGAAAGCCAGAAATTTTGGAAAACCCACAATTTTCTGGCTTTTCAGAGCCACTAGAGCATATACACTATGAGGTAAGTCTTTGATTGGAACATGGTGTGTGTCTGGAGCTACAAACCTCTGTCCACCAATGCCTGAAATTGAATGAATCACTGCCAAATTCAACCCAAGAAACTGCAGCCATCTTCCAGACAATTTTGGCCTTGCTGCAAAGGAAAAGAGATGCTCAAGAGTTTCTAGATCAACTCCACAAGATTTGCAGATGGGGTGAATGTCTTTAAGTCTCAACAGCAGTTGTTGGCTGACTGGTAGGGTGTCAATGAAGCACTTCCAGATGAAATGCTTTATATTTTTGTAAGAATAATTTCTTTTTATATAAAAATATGTATATTTTTAAAATAAATTGTTCATTTTTCTAACGATTAAGTTCGTCCAAAAGCAAATCTATTAAAAAGGTCATTATATATTCAACTTTGTACTAAACATCGTCCAATTCCCTCACTTAGGCGCAACGATTTTTGCCTTCACGGTCGTTATAGGCGCTCGAATGATTAGACGACACCTAAGGGTTTAGGTTGTTTTGAAGTTACTCACACCTAGACTGCCTATGAGGCCTAGGCAATGGCATGTACCTAGGCGGTCTTCGTGGTGCCTGGATATTGTTTTTTGATTTTTTTAAATTATTTTTTAAATAAAAACAATTTTTTTATGCATGAATTTTAATGAATAATATAATAAAAAATATTAATAATTAAACTTTACTTAATAAAATAATTACGAATGCATTAGATTTTGCATAATATTTTATTTGATCATACTAGTTGATATATTTTTTTTAATATATCTTATAAATTATAAATTATGCAGGATGATAAATACAAATTTAAAATTATTTTTAGTTGTCCAGACCCTAATCTAGCGCCCTACACGCTAGGCCTCAGTCCACTGATTGGCGTTAACCGAGCGAGTACTTTTATAACATTTGATATTCAGAAGCAACTCCACCTTAAATCATGAATCAATGATATTATTATGATATGTGTACACTCCTATTTATTTAAACATTATGTCTCCATTTCTATTTAATCACTTATTTTATTTGAAGTTGTGCGCGCAAAGGCAAAATTCAATTTATGTCCTATAATTTGTAGCTTGTGGAAATTATGGACATGTCTCTTATGTTTGACAAATTATTACAATAACTTGAAAATTTGGCATTAAATACTCGAATTTTCAAGTTAGTGTTCTAATTTGCCAGTAAAAAAAGGCGAATTAGGACAATAACTTACAATATCATGCACTTAATGCCCAATTTGTTTTAATTTGCTAAATGAAAAGTTAGCCTTAAATGCCACAAGCCATAAATTATCAGGAATAACTTGCAATATATATTGCCCGTGCACAAACTCAGTTTTTAGCCTGCATCCAATCCGCCTCTAGCTCGTGGTAAATATAAATAATCGGGCTTTTATCCCGTCCATCAATATAGATATTCTTCTATGTTTTTGGAAAATTAATTGTTAAAGTTTGATGTACACAAATATAAAAGAGAAATTTGTACTGAATTAAACATAAACTTTTGCCAATATGTATTCAATGAAGTAAGAATTGGGAACGATTAAGCTTATCTAAAAGAATCAACCGGCCGAAAGACCAATATTCACAATGAAAACTCCATGACATTATTATTACTTGCATACACCCATAATGATTAACATATTATGCCTCCCATTTCATATCATCCAACTAAGTATAACAACTAATAAATTATTACATAACCCAAATGTCACTTTGTTGTTTCTTTGCCAACTCAACGTAAAATAGATGACATTTATGCATGTGTATATATATATATATGGTTAGCGCTTTTGATCCTCTTATTCGGCACACACACCCCTTCAACATTTTCTTTGTATAAATTATGGATTAAGCTGCTTGAGAGCTGCACGAAGCCTCTTCACTACTTGTTTCATTGACAAGTTGAACTCTTTCTCCATCTACACGCAATAAATAAAAAAGATCACAAAATTAATACTCCCTCTTATTCATAATAAATGTCGTTTTGAAAAATTGCACAGTAATTAAGATTTTTTTTCCTGTAATAACCCTCTTTAATGAAGATAGAGATGAAGAGTGAATATGAAAAGACGTGTATATTTATTAACTAGATGAGGATAATAATGGAAAGATATGTACAAAAAATTTCAAACTTCATTTATATATATGATTACTGTTTGATAAAGCTAAAATGACATTTAGAAAAAATATGAGGTAATATATAATTAAATTGAGAATTGTTGTTCCATAAATACAAGGGTTTGACTATTTATAATGAATCTGTATATAAAAGAATACCTCAGCAACAATTGTAATGTCAAGGGCGAAATTTCCAAAGGGCGTGACATTGGTGTTGATGACAACCATGTTGAGCATCTCGATATTTGTGAGCAGATTTACCAAAATGCCCTTGTGTTTTTGGCAGTGGACCCTGATGAGTAGGTGATTATTGGAGGCTCTGGCCTCGATTTCGGGCAGCGGGAGCTCGGCCGAAGTGTCATCAGACGAGCCCTCGTCTGCTATCTGCGATTTCCTGACGAGCACAACGGACTCCATTGTTTGCCTGCTCGCTTGCTCTTCCAATGTCTTCACCCTTTCTTGGAGGTGTTTTAAGTAGTTTATGGCGTCCCCCAAAACTGATGTTTTGTCCATCTGCATACATCATTAATCATAATTATAAACTGATTAGTTAATTAACAAAACATTGTCACAATCAACATTCGTATCAAACGAAAAAATTCAATGATTATATTAAGAGAAGGGAATCATACTCTTAGCATTCATGTCAAACTAAAAAAATCTAATGATTATATTAAGAGAACCGAATCATGAGACTGTAGTCATTCCCATAAATATATATTCCCACACTTAAATTAATTAGGATTTATAAGGACTTTTTAATACTTTAGAAATCTTAATATATTCAATTTATTTTTGTTGACTTTTAAAAATCTTGGGAATATTCAATTGAGATTTTAAAAAGTCTTACCATGAGGTATTTAATTTATTTGAGACTATGATTTGTTAAAACTTTTTAAAATTTGATGAGATTTCTAAACAAAAAAATCTTGTAAGAAATCTCACTTCAAATCCCGCCTCCAGACTTAAACTTTCACATAATTCCTCCAAAATATTCAAATCTTAAAAATTCTCAAAATGTCACTTAAAATTCTAATTGAATACACTCCCTAAATTACCTTCTTGAGGCCGGGCACTATGGTGGAGAGAGCCACAAAGCGCTGACTGAGCTGTTCGCGCCTCTTCCTCTCGGCAATAATGTGATCATATGTCTGCGAAGGCGGCCTCACCCTTCCACCTGTTTTTTTCCTGGTTGTTACAACCGTAGCCTCTTCCACTTCCTCTTCCTCACATGCCTGAGTCTGAGTCTGCGTCTGTGTCTTTGTGGGACACGAATTCTTGTCAAAGTTGAGAATTATTGGAGCCGCCGCTGCACGGTCAACTGATGACAATTTGTTACCCTTTTGGAGCTTCGCTGGCCGTTGTTGCTCACCAGTATTATTATTATTATTATTATTATTATTATTATTATTATTATTATTATGACGAAAAGGAGGAGGAGGCTGAGGAGGAGAGTATTGAAAATTGTCTGTGTAGAGGGAGGATATGGAGTTTGTGCTAGGGAGTGTGTTGATGAGTGTGGAGGAAGTGGATGACATCATGTCCAGGTCATGCCCAAGAACAGCTGCTATCTCCTCGTCTAAGGGATTGTCCAACATAAAATCGCTTTGCTCTCTCCACAAAGAATTGTCTATCCCCTGCACAACATCACAAATAAATATCTCTTTTTTTTTTTTTTTTNTTTACGGGCAATATATATATTCGCCAAGCTTTTGTATATGAGGAAATTACCATTTCAGAGAGCCATGAAATTTCTGGGCAATCCATATTGTTCACCCGCTTCTTGCTCTTTCTTTATGCCACAAAACAAAGAGATGAAGATGAATTAATGTTAACTGTAGAGAAGAAATGGCGTTATACAAATTTACAGAGTCGCAGCATTTATATAGCAGGAAAAAGCATGCGGAATACATGTATGTTATGTTTCGAAGTTTGAAGTTAATGAATGTTTTTTTTTTTTTTCACAAAACTAGAGAACAGCGAGGAGTATACCTTGGATTGAGGTTCTTTACGTCTTTTTTTTAAATAAGTTTACTTGAGAAGAAGAACCTAAGTTGGGGGTGGGAAGAGGGGTCTTTTAATTTGCACTATGAGCGGCTACAAATTGTCGAGTGGCATCGTCTAATCTCAACTATGGCCTGATTGTATGGAAATTAACACTCGTTTCAATTGATTGGCTCAAATTGTCATTTGAAATGCAGACTCTATTGACTATTTCTGTCCACTACTCCACTTTTTTGCTACTGTTTTTACTTTTATTTATTTTTTGGTTCTGATTTTTAATTCACTTTTTTTTTTTAATTAAAATTGTGACAATGACGAGTCTTGTCTCTGCATGTCAATGATGAAAACAAAAAATCAGCTTGGTCCCCATAGTCACATGGATGAAAATGAAATCAGCCTTGGTCCCCATGGTCGGGCACACTAATTAAAGAGGAAATAATTGTCTTTTTCTCATTCCAAAAGTAGAAGGGCAACTTCCTATTAAATTCCTAAGTGCCTTTTCATATTCCTCCTCAGTCCCTACACTTTTTTTTATTCCTTTCAACTCTCTAATTCCTTAATTTTCTACCTTCAATTTCTTAATGTTAAAATTAAATCAAAACTAAAATGTTTTATTACATCATCCACTAACATATTATTTTATTTGTTTTATCTTCCACCAACCACAACACATGATACTATGTTATTATTTTTTTTATCAATCTTCTTCTACACCCTTTCTCCCTCCCTCCCGTCACTCTCCCGTCTTCCTCCATTTCCGGCGACTGCTTGCATTTTTTTATTTTTTGTTTTTGCAGGTCGGTCTCTCCGGCGAAAAAATCCGTCGAGAAGAACTCCGGCAACAACAAATCCGGCCAAAGAAGTGATTCCGACGTCAAATTTGTGCGGCCAAGAATTAATTTTTTCCGGCAACATTCGTGCTTTTTCCGGCCAAAATATGAAGTAGCAAGTAATATATGTATTATATGAGCATTTTGGAGTCCACAAATCATGTTTAATTCGTATATATTTGGTTAATTTGTTTGGGATGAATTTTGAAAATTATTGTGCATATTAACCCTAAATCAATTAAATTGATCAAAATCTCTTATTTCTTGTTTATGTATACGAAATTGATGCTATTGTTAAGTTTTGTAATGTGTTATTCACCCAAAAATAAGAAAATAAGGTGGGAATGTCACTGTACCATGATTCTTGATTATTGTACCTCTGTTTGCATGTATATAGTACCACTTTTAATATTTTTTTGTACCATATTTTCCTGGGAGATGTGAATTATTTTTATTTATCCAAATATTGTTAGATAGATGGAAGGGGCACAAAGTGATATACTAGGGAGTTGTACGTACAGTAATGAATTGTTTATGTTCTCTATGCACATTGGAGTCCAAAAATCATGTTTAACTCGTATATATTTGGTTAATTTGTTAGGGATTGAATTTTGAAAATTATTGTTCATATTAATCCTAAATCAATCAAAATCTCTTATTTCTTGTTTATGTATACGAAATTGATGCTATTATTAAGTTATGTAATGTGTTATTCACCCAAAAACAATGGGAATGACACTGTACCCTTATTGTTGATTATTGTACCTTTGTTTGCATGCATATAGTACCACTTTAATTCTTTTTTGTACCATATTTTCCTGAGAAATGTGAATTATTTTTATTTATCCAAATATTGTTAGATAGATGGAAGGGGCACAAAGTGATATACTAGGGAGTTGTACGTACAAGAATAAATTGTTTATGTTCTCTATGCACATTGGATCAACGCTTAGTGAAGTGTACACTCTCATATCAAAGAGGTGGCCGAACGTTAATTTCGAATCCGTCGTGCTATATTATATTGCGCCAAAGGAAAAAAAGAGAGTTACTTTGTTGGATGATGAGGATGTGAAGAACATGATTCGGTTACACTTTTGTTGGAAACTAAATATCGTAGAGATTATTGCCATGGAAAGAAATGAAAGACGGGATGATGGAGTTCAATCCTTCCCGATGAACATGAACAGGTAATGTTATTTTCATAATATTAATGAATTTATTATTGAAATATGGTGTAGTCGTATCATATCCTAGTTCATTAATTTTTCAACTAGTTCCATTATTTATAAATGTTTGTATTATTTTGTCATGAACGCAGGGAAAACGTACAGTCTGATGATTTGTCGGAGGGAGAACATGAGTTGTTGCAAGATAAATCAATCGATTCTTGGAGATGTTGCCTCAAAGGAGAGGGGCAAATATTCGCTGGGGCCGACGAATTTCGAAAGAGTGTAAAAAACTACGCAATTGCAAACAAGCGGTCCTTTAAGTATCGGAAAAATGACAAGCAGAAGGTCATCGTTTATTGTAGCGATGCGGATTGTGAATGGAGAGTATATGCATCGTTATACAAAGGCGATCAGCAGTTTGCCATCCGGAAATGCAACCTCGTCCATACTTGTGGTGTGTCCAATCTTCGGACAAGGGGGCATCCGAAAGCGAACTCCATTTGGGTGTCAACTACAATCAAAGACAGACTGAGAGATGAACCGAACTAGAAGCCTTGCACGATATTGAAAGATATTCATAGGGATTATGGCTTGGAGTTGCCTTACAAAAAGGCATGGTTAGGGAAGGAACTTGCAATGCAAGATATTCATGGAGCAGACAGGGGATCTTACGACAAATTGAGATGGTATTGTAGTGCAGTGCGTGAGACAAACCCTGGAAGCATTGCCGATTGTGAGATTGACCCCGTCGAGAATAAGTTCCGCCGATTGTTCATCTGCTTTAATCCTTGCCTTGTCGGTTTTTTAACCGGTTGTCGACTGTTGATATTTTTGGATGGCACCCACATAAAACATAAATACAAAGGCATTTTGCTTAGTGCTGTGAGTAAGGATGCCAATGACGACTTGTTCACTATAGCATATGTCGTGGTTGATGTCGAGACGGATGAAAATTGGGAGTGGTTTTGCTTGAAGCTGAATAGTAGTTTTCTTTCCTCCCGCTTACCTGTTCCTAGAAGCTTCACTTTTTATTCGGACCGACACAGTGGGCTACTTAAAGGCATCCCTATGGTTTTTCCTGGCAGCCATCATGCTTATTGTTTGAGACACTTAGTCGACTGTGAATATTATTCTGTTTAAATTCTGTTATATTCTGTGAATATTATTCTGTTTAAATTCTGTTTAAAAATGTGAATAATTCACATTTTTCTGTAAATAATTATTTATTTATTTATTTATGTTTTGTAGGTGTTGAGGAAATACCCACATTTTAATAAAAAAACATTGGTCTTCGGTTTTTATGAAAGTTGCGTATGCTCCTAAAAGGCAAGATTTTGATATCCATATAAATAATATTTTGACTAAGATGCCTGAAGCAATGGAGTTCCTTCCGAATTCTAACCCACAGTGTTGGGCGAATTCTTTATTTGTTGGAGACCGTTGGGGGATCATGAATAATAATCAAGCATAATGTTGGAATAACTGGGTAAAGTCGACACGATTTATGCCTATTGTAGCCATAGTGGATCACATAAGAAAACAAATTATGACCATGATGCATGATCGGCGTGAAGGAGTGTCGCGGTTCACTGGTCAGTTGTGTCCTAAGCTTGAGAAAAAAATTGCAGCTTCTTACAGTGCTTCCCGCAATGTCAAAATCAGTCAATAAAGTGAATGGAGGTTTGAGGTTGTTGATGGCGACAAAAGTTGTGACATAGATTTACAACTTCGGACTTGTTCTTGTGGAGAATGCCAACTATGTAAGATGCCGTGCAAGCATGCATGTGCTTGTATTGAGAGTAGGTCAATGTCCGTCTACGATTTTTGCGATCCATATTATCGTGTCGGGATGTATAGGCAAGCTTATCAAGGTACTATTAACCCTATACCTAACTACGACCATAATGTGGCATCTTGCTCGACACATCTTGATTATGCCCTTCATGCCCCGAATGTACGATCTCAACCCGGACGAAGGAGGGAAAAAAAGTTTCCTTCACAAGTTGATGTTGCGGTGAGGCGGTGTAAGCGATGTGGTGGTCGTGGACACAATCGACGTACGTGCAAAGAACGTATGTAGATCACTTTTGTGTTTGGCATTTGTGTTTATTGTTTTGGGAAAGTGTGTTGGAAAGTGTTGTATTTTTTTTTTGTCGGAATATGTATTTTGATGATACATTATTGACATATTCCGAGTATGTACTGCAAGAATATTTTGCGAGTAATGCTGCAGTACATACAAAACATCATTTACAATTTTGCATGGGTACTTAAGAACGTCAAACCAGGTACTCTCCTTTTACAATATAGGTACTAGTTTTGTGGATATATGTGTGTACTCATTTTCATTCCAAAGAGTGGGTAGTAAATGACACTTTATGAGTAATATTTTTTTGTACAATATACTGGAGACCAATTAAACGCAATCAAAGACATTTAGAATCTTAAGTAAACGAATTCCAGAGTGATCATGGGTCGTACTAACATCATTTGCGACCGAAATTCGGTCTTCGTATGTGTTCAATATAAGTGGTACTAGGGAGAGGATATCCGGTACTATATTGCCATACTGAGGTACTCTCTTTCACTATGACTGGTACTACTTTTTGTAAATGTTGGGCAGAATTGAGATAATCAATTTTTATTGACAAAAGTTGGTACTAATCGATCAAAATCAAGTACCACGTAGTATAATATTCGGTACTATATTTCGAAAAAACGGTACTATTTTCAGAATCACGATTTCTCTAATCCTTCATGTCTACCATGACACGTAGATCGTTCACACGTGATTTGGATGAAAAAACATGGAATTGAAAACACATAGGTAGAATTTGGAGTAGTCATGTATGATGATATCTATGAGATTAAGTGTGTCATTCAATGAAATGAAGTCTAGTAGTAGTGTTTTCTCATTATTGTATCAAGTTCATGACCAATTTGCGATTAAACGCAATCAAAGACATTTAGAATCTTAAGTAAACGAATTCCAGAGTGATCATGGGTCGTACTAACATCATTTGCGACCGAAATTCGGTCTTCGTATGTGTTCAATATAAGTGGTACTAGGGAGAGGATATCCGGTACTATATTGCCATACTGAGGTACTCTCTTTCACTATGACTGGTACTACTTTTTGTAAATGTTGGGCAGAATTGAGATAATCAATTTTTATTGACAA